TTAGCTTCCTGTTGTGAACACTGGAGGTGCGCAGAGCTGGCTCCGAGTGAGATGCTCACAGGAGGAAGCATATCCTGCCCGGTGACATTTTCTACCAGAGTAAACGTGTTTGCCTGGAAGCTCTCCTGGACCCGTGCGGGATGAAAATGAAGTGATCGGAGCTCCTGTGACTCCGAAGATTTAGCTTCGTGAAATGTTTCAAGTTTCTGTACAAAATAAATCAGCTGATCCTGAGGAGCTCAGCTCAGAGTTGACTCATAGACAAACACGTTTTATTAAAGCAAACATCAACCACTGTTTGACGTCAGACTCCAGGTAGCAGGTAAATGTGGAGCCAGTTACAGATCTGCAGGTGACGCGTTGTTGCTGCTTTGTCTTCATTGAACCCACACACCGTCAGACAGCCACGATCGTTCTGCATTTCCAGAGAAAATGAGTCATTGCGAGCTTTTACCGCGTGATTCTGGGTGACATGACGCGCACATGAATGCGGACTGCAGAGGTTTTCTCCTCAACCTGATTTTTTAAATCCCTGCATTAATATTTCCTTTGGACTTCGCTTTTAACTCTGCCATTGACGTCTATAGCCGTCAATTGCAGTGCATGAGTCAATGGCTTTAACTCATTCACTGCCAATGGCTGGCAGTGAATGAGTTAAACACACTAAAACAAATGTGTGCGAATTGAGGAAGTGACGAAGCACGTGACTGTGGCAGAGTGCACGTGTCAGCGCTCAGTGCTGTCCAGCAGAGGGCAGCAGAGGGCCACGCACAGGTGCCCAACAGCCTTTGTTTATGTCACTAGAACAAAAACACCCAAACAGGCACCAGGTGACAGCTGCCCTCACTGCTGTATCTGCTTCGTCTACATTTTTATTAGGGAGGAAACATTTTCAAAATTGAAAATACGATCGAGGGCTGTTTTTCCAGCTGCTTCAGTCCAGCAGGTGGAGACAAAGCCAAAGACTGTAGTGCAAAGATGAGAGGAGAGCGTGAGGAGCTGCTGCAGCATTCTGCTGTAAACCCAGCCCCTGACCTGCACACACTGCTGCTGATGACGCCCAGAATAAACTGTAAGGTTTGTGTGTGACTGTGAGGGTGGAGGGGGCGGTGGTGCAGAAGGAGTCCGATTGAGCTGACTGAGCGAGGACAGCTGTGGATGAAGAACGAAGAGCCGGGCGCTGTTCGCTGAGCTGAGGGAGGAACAGCTGCCGTGCTGCGAGGCCCACAGTGACAGCAAAGCCACAGTCGCTGCACAAAAAGCTTGTCAGGAAGGAGACGCACAAACAGCTGGTGCTGAACACGCTGCAGCTCTTCATCTGCTCCAGCAGGTCCAAACACATCTAGTACAACTCCAGCTTCCCTACAAGCACGCCTCCCTTCATACTGCATGAAAAGCACATTCTAGCCGCAGGTCGTCGAGTCTGCAGGATCCCCCGCTGCACCGCGAGGCCTAAACTGTGATTTCAGAATCATCAGAATCAGAATCGTGTTTATTGGCCAAGTATATGTGCAGACACATACAGGGAATTTGGTTCCGGTAGATGGTGGCTCTCAAGCACAGCAATGTAAATCACACACACACACACACACACACACACACACACTC